GTCCTATGTATCTTAACCTTTCCGAATCAATTTTTGCATACATATCACATATAAATTGTTGGAAAAGGGTTTTGCATCGCAATATTATATTGAAATTTGAAGACTGCACCGTAATCCGTGGTATGAGTATTTTCCTGATGCAGCATTGCTTGTAGTTGGAGTACCATCTTCTTGCTTGTGGAACATTTCTTCATCTGGTATTCATTGCTCTTCTGCTTGCTTCCCTTCATCGTTTATAAAATAAATCTGCAAGAATTTAGGCTGCTCGCTTGGTAAAGGATATACACTTCCAATACAATGATAGACTTGTCTGTGTATCTTAAATGTTGGCATGAAACCACATTCTCTGATTTCTTTTGTAGTCCCAAAAGATGTCATTTGGAAGCAAGAATTGTAATGTCAGATGTTGTCTTGAAAATGTTTGGCTTCTCTGGAGTCTTCGGTCAACAATCTACATTATATATCTGGAGGATCCATCAATAAAGGCTGTTTAACTTTTCAAGCATTGCAACACATACCTTGAGTTTCACTTTTCAACTTCATGGCTGCACAATCCTGGCATCTTTTTGACATTGATCCTATATCACATGCTGGATCAGAAGCATTATCCACTGCTGGATTATAGGAGAATGCTGCATTTTCTTTTTCTCTTCATACTTGCAACCATGCAGTAGCTGTAGCAAATCGATCCTGTTGTAGTCTTCTTTCTCTTTCTTCAGATGTTTCCTTTGCTTTTGCTGCTGCTCTAAAAGTCCTATCCCTTTCTTGCCTTGTTACTCTTTCGTCCATCATTTCCCTTGCTGCTGCTCTAAAAGTTGTATCCCTTTCTTGCCTTTTTTTTTTCCTTCAGCCCTTGCCCTCGCTGCTGCTGTAGTACTCCTATAATTTTCTTGCCTTGTTTCTCTTTCTTCAGGCATTTCTCTTGCCCTTGCTGCTGCTATAGTACTCCTTTTTTCGGGTGTTTTCCTTGCCCTCGCTGCTGCTGTAGCACTCCTATTATTTTTTTGCCTTATGTTTCTTTCTTCAGGCATTTCCCTTGTCCTTGCTGCTGCTCTAGCACTCCTATTATTTTCTTGCCTTATGTTTTTTTCTTCGGGCCTAGCCTGTTCTAAAAGTCCTATCCCTCTCTTGTCTCGATTCTCTTTCTTCAGATGTTTCATTTACCCAAAATGATTCTCTACATGCTCTATCAATTGCTCATCATACACGCAAACATTTCTTTTTTCTTAGTAGCTAAGGCATACTTTCAAGAATATCCTAGAAAAAGAATTCTCAAGAATCTTGTAGGAAAAAATTCTGAAAATGCAAATATAAATTGATGCAATTTTATCGCTTTTCCTCTCGACAAATGCCCAATATTCAAGAGAAACATTAAATTTAAAAACTGCTCAGAATTATTGCCCTCATTGTTCTGAGTGGTAACAGTGCTAATGTAATGAGAGAGAATTATTGATTTGATGCAATTTCATCAAGAAACATAAAATAAAAAAAGCTCATTCGAATTTTGAAAAAAAAATTTCCTTCGTGGTGCACTGGCTCTTGTCTAGATTCACCTATGTATCAAATTTTGTAGCCCTAGGTCTATTATCTTACGTGCAGCATGAATGAAAGACACACAGACAGACAGACTTTTGCTTTTATTATATGTAGAGATTGTGAATGCAAGTTATGACACAAAATGTAAAAAATAACATAAAACTTTATTCCTTACAGCTAATAAGACTTAAAATAATGCAAAACAACCTATCAACTCTGGTGCTTCAACAGCTTATTGGAACTTTAAATTAATTATTGTATATTAACTGGGTTATAATTCCAGCAGATTTACACGAAGCTACAATACTAACTTGGTTAGGCAAAGTGTAGCTAACTTTCAACACTTGCAACCCTATGAACATCAGATTGTAAGATCTAGGCTCCTTGGCTATACTGCTACTAGATCTATTTGAAAATCTTAAACTACTTACTTCATAAGCTGCTGCTAGACCTAGTTGAAAATCTGTGTATCGACTTATTTCTAAGACTAGAAGATGAATACAACAGAGGTAAAGTGTAGAAGAACCTTTTATTGAAATCAATTATTTACAGATGATGTGTATTTACATTTTTTAGGTTAAAATATGATTGTTGTTTGACTTCTAAAATGATGTATTTACATGCTTATAATTTCACAATCCACTTTGGCCACCCAGACGATATAGTGGTTATGGGAGCCTACTATGGTACTGAAGGGCTTGGGTTCAAATCCCGGCATGGATGTTTGCAAATGAACAGTGTCTTTGTGGTATGGGGGCACTCTAAATATATGGCAAGCTGAAAATCCTCTCATGTGGTTTGGTGGAAGGGGAGAGGGTTGGGAGATCTCTGGACCATCCCCTGTGGTACTCTGTCTGAAAATTGGGGAGGATGTAGAAGTCCAACCTCCTGGAGGCTCTGGCAGCCATTCTTTCATGAATTACATGGGCGGCAAGACAACAACAAATTGTAGTGAGGAATTTAATGATAATGGTAACAAACTAAATTTAAGAGATAAACTAGTAGTTCAAGACTGTATGAATTAATTTAACTTGCAGGTTGACTCAGAAACCTACATTGGCATGATACAAACTTTGGTGGTGAGATTGTGAAGCCAAAATTCAAAATTCAAACAACATGTGCACTCATTAGCAAAAATGCACTCTGGCTAACCTTTTGCTAATTTAGTTTAAATATACTTTCATTCACACTAACTCATTTACATCCTGGCGAGGAAACACAAGGGAAACAAGGGTGATAAGAAAGGCTAACAAATTAAAATAATTATTAGTAAAAATGATATAATGCTTATAAGATGTTTACATCTGTTTTGACCTCTATCTCTAAGCAAGCAGCTGCAGTGGCAACAGCCAAGCTCCTGTTATGAGTCATGCTGATTTTTTTATTATTTTATTTCACAATTTAACTTATGCCACTTGATATGAAATTTGTGTATACCTTTGGGCTGAGCGACTATAGGACAAAATGATTGCGACTAATGGACAAAATGCATAGAAGAAAGAACCAGTACAAAGCTAACTGTTAGTAAAATTTAAATGAAAAGCCACTAATTTTCTTTAAAATATGTGGGACTGTTACAAGTGTAAAATATAAATGTTCCGAGAAATTTTATAATTTAATTCTGTTTACTTGAGGAAAAAAAATTATGAAGTTAGTTTTATAGTTAAGTTAAATATTAGATTATGTTTAATGATATTGCGTCCTACTTACAAATTTATTTTATTCTTACAAATTACAAAGGTTAAGTTACCAAAGTAAAGTTTGGGTGTAGATAATTGCTTTAGTTTATTCACTTCCTGTTTGCTTGATAGGCCGTTAATTTTTTCATTGATTCATTTCATCCAGTTTTTTGATTCATTTGCCTCCAGCTGATGTCATGCTGTTCGTAATAGTTGCTGGTGTGACTAGCTGACGATACATGTTGCCTTTACCTTCGAGTACTGAAAGTTTTGAGTATGGTGTAGAAGTTTTATCAATTTAATTAATGTTCATGTAAATAAAGTGATTGTTAAGGATGTGGAGTCATGTGTGAACCAACATGAATCATCCTTCACACTTACGCTACTAACGGTTTACTGTATTTTTACATAGTTTAGTTCATTTGGTTACATAAATTATATCAGCATTCAAAACAAAATGAGTAATGTTTTTGTTTCTCTTGTTATTTTAATGGAAGTCCATGGGAAACAGTTAAATGGCTTACTTCATTTATTTACATTTAGTTTTATTTTTATGATTTGGCAATTCATTTTTAGCAAGGGATTTAACAATATTTATGCATTCCAGATTATGTGCAATTAAATTATGTACTGTTGTGAATTCTGAAATACTGTGACATCTACTATCACTGCTGTTATCCCACTCATTTTCAATTTTTTTTGTATCCCCCCTCATAAATTTTGTTTGTGACAGTAATGTTTTCATCCTTCTGTAGTAAACAAACTCAGCTTTCTTTTTTTTATACAAGGCCCTTTTAATTGGGAGTAGTAGGCCATAAATACAGAGCTTCCATTAACCCATTATTTTTCTATTGTGATTAACATATCCACAAAATTTTCATGTCCCTACATTAGGCTATAAATGAAATGGGGAGAGCACTATAATTAGATACATGTCAGTTTTTCAGTTTTAGTGTTATTGATGGAAAGAAAGTTAAAAATCTGTTCTAAATTTTCCTTCTAAAGTAAGGCTTTTCCCAATTTTTTTGTGGTGTAAAATCACTTGGATGTTGCAGCTTCAAGATGTGCCGACACCTATCTGAACAAGCTTGAATGTATCAGTCTAATTTTCTATAAGAATTATTAATTCTGAATTTTAGATCTTTCTTAAACTATTGCTTAAACCATTCTTTTATAAATATCAAATTTTCAATAAAAGCACAAAGAAAATTTTTTGAGATGGTTTATGGTTTTATAATAAAGTGCTTCAAGGATTTTGGCAAGGAGGAAGGATGCTTTCGCAAACAACTGTGTAATGAAAACTGGCTAGTAACTGTATTGATGTGTGGGAAAACCTAGTCTCACTAGCAGTCGAGTGTATAAGATTTCTAAACATTGGTAACTTGGGGTCAAAAATCCTATTGAGCAGCCAAGGCTGCATAGATATTTTTGTCGTTTTCCTTATGTGTAATGAGGACATGAGCCAGTTTCTTACTTAGAAAATCCTCCACATCCCTGTTATCTGCTGAAGAGCAAATAATGTGCTTTATTATAATATAATGAATTCAAATCCTGTGAGGTAAAAAAAAAAAAAATAGGGAAACACATTTATCATCCCATTCAGCTATTCAGGAATTGGATTTTGTATGGACTGATTTATCCTGTGATTTTAGTCATTTGATTTTCCTTGAGCTGTACAGATGCTTCCCTGTAGAATATATTGATTCAGTGAGAGAGAAATGATTTCTGTTCTTTCTTGCATTGTCTCCACATCTTTTTAGCAGTATTTCTTTGTTTTTATTCTAGGTAATGGACCATCTGCAATAACTTTATCATATATGCTTGCTGGCAATTGGCCATACTATAATGGCTTACCTCATCCTATTGATTATTTGCAGTACAGGCTCGAAGAAAATAAAGGCAAATCATTACTTGAGCAGGTATTTATTATATCTATAATAGCATGGTAATAGAATATGTTAATCATATTTAAAAGCAGTACCATTTTTATTTTTTTTATGTAATGCTGTTCATCTTGTTTTTATGTGTTTGTTACATACACATCATCATACTGACTAATAACTATACGAAATAGCAAAACTATTGTTAATACTATTAATGGCTGAATTTTTTATATCAATAAATGTTTTTTTTTAAATGTTCTACTTGTTTATTGTTATTCAAGATTTTGATATTTATAATTGATTTATTATACTTTTTTTTAAGGTCATTATATATTTAGTACTTATTCATTGCAGCCTTTCTTACTAAAAGCAAATTTTAAAGGACTGTATGCTCTTCTTAATATGAGTTTAAAGGAGTGTATGTTATTAAATATTGAATGCTTGAGTAATTATTGATAAAACAAGTCGCATGAAATTTTGCTTCCCAAATTATTATAACTAACATCCCTTGAGCTAATTTTATCAGATTAATTAATATGATAAATTTGCCAGCAGTTTAATATGATGATATAATCTCCCTGTTTCCACATGAATTTGCAAATTCTGAGGTTGAAGCTTTCCTAAATAATGTTTCGCATCCCAGAACCAGTAATCCAAGGTAGTCAATTTTACAGGCATTTCATAATCCTTAAATCTTGGGCTACTATTTTAGAGTGTTAGTGCTTCATGATTTTTAATTCATTGTGTAAAACTAATTTCCATTGAAATTATTCATAATTGAAAATATGTTTGTTAATGTTGATAGCATTTTTATATATGATAGCTTTCTAGAAATATATATGTGGTCAAGTTTTTGTACCTCTAAAATGTAGTGTGCCTTTTTCTGTATATGGCTTTCATTTTATGGCCAATAAACTATAATTTCAATAGATAAACAAAAATATTCAAAATAACTGAAGTTATTGAAGAAAATAAAATATTTTTCTTCTTTTATATAAAATTATGGTACTTGCGTATTATCCCACCGACCATGAAACTATTGCCTTGTATCATGATGTATCATCAATTACAGATAAATGTGACATAATAGCACACTCTTAACATCTTTGCTTTCGTTTGATGCAACCTGAATTGATTCTTGATAAACCATCTTTCACTTTTATGAACAATGATATAAATTAACTGTTATTGCTTTATTTTCTTCTTGCATTTTGAAAAGAAAAATGATTAAAATTTGGGACCTGCCTTCTACAGAACAGCAAGAAATAAATTATTTCCAAATTTATGAGATCCTAACATAAAAAAAGTATATATAAATGGACATTATATGGTCAGGTGAATATGGCTGACAGTAATAGATTGGTACAATTACCTGTGAAAAGTTTGTACTCATAGTGCTTTAAACAGAGCTTCCAATAAAATTGGATGAACGTAACAAAATAGTAGAAATTGACAAAAGCCTTTTTACAAATAAAAGAAATGGAGCATGTTGAGTAAGGATTGTTTATTAAAGAAAGCAGTTTCAGTGCCTTCAGAATTTTTTTCGAATGATTGGCACAGCTTTGGTGAGATCTCCGTAAACTTTTATGTTTCGATTTTAATCAACTTTCATGGTCGATGGGATATGCAAGTACCAAAATTATTGCCTGTCTTAAATGCTGCATTCCACAAAATGATATAAATTAACAAAAATATGTGGATCCATGATTAAGGTTGTTTTTATCAGTTTTGATCAACTAGTGACTACTGACAAAAAACTAAAAATTAAAATTAATTTTGCATTTACTTTTTTTCATAATGCAGTTGACATGTTTTTTTAATAACAAAATACTTGAACTGGCAGATATTTAGTACTTTTATTTAGTACTGAATAGCTGAAAAAGAATACCCAATTTTCTTTTTTTTTATTAATAGTTTATTTTTAAGTATCTTCATTATCATGAGGGTTTTGATCATATCTTTGCACATCTGCTGTAATTAATAATTGGTGAGATTATACCGTATGGCAAAGCTCACTTGGGCTGCCTTAATAGGAGTGATTTTCATGGAGAATGTCTTGTGGCTAGATTTGTTCATACTGTCATTAACATTCTGTTATAGGAAAATTTAATTTTTTCTCTGAGTCTAATGTTGTATAAAATTAGTTATTTTATCAACTTGGTCTTGGATAAAATTTCATCAGCATCCTTAAGCTCTGAAGGCTATTTACCAAGGAATATTAGCATACTGTTTATATATATATGAATTTAATAAAAAATGTCTTCTGTTGTTTTACATGTATTGTTTCATTCTAATGGAAAATGTGTTTTAAATTTTATTTAAGATGAACTAATATGAGTAGTAATAAAAATAAAGAACATTTTGATTGAAATTGAGCTACACCTTTTGATGGTTATAAATTCAAATAAGGAAATTTATATTCGTGTGTACAATGGATCAAATAATCAAGGATCATGTCAGCTGTGTGTTTATGTATGTAAATAGAATAAGCTTTAGATTAGATGAAGCATGTTTAATTTTTTATTGCCGAAGTTTTGTTATTCAGCATGCACTGTTTGTTTCAAAATAATTTAACAAGTTTATCAGTTCAGATTTATTCAGCATTCTAATAATACTGGGAATTGAGAGTAATAGCAATCCTTTTTTACTGAAATTCTGAAACTGTATCGCATATTAGAGATTGAGACTACTAATGTTATTTATTGATATGTATCAGGGCACACAGATATCTCGATAACAAATTAACCAGCATTGCCCCAAAATCTGCTGATATTTCTAATGGCATTGCCGATTAAGTCATGCACTATATGGATGGTCATTGTGGAGCTCAATACATTTGGGTGCAACATTCTTCCATTGATCAAAATATAAAATTAAAATAGAAGCAAATCAGTTATTAGGGCATGTAGCTTGGAGCACCCAATATATCCTCACCCAGCATTTTCTAATGTTTTCTTTGTAGTTAATTGGAAAATCAGAAAAAATCATTAAATTATAGCTTTGAGATATATTGACATTATTAAAATAAGTGTGAAACCCAGCATTGAAAGTTTAATAGATATCACCAGGTTGGAAGTTCTGGGTAGTTTAACTATTGAAAAGTGTTTTTATTTCTTATAAATTGCTTAGTTTTTTAAAATCAGTGAAAGGTTAATTAAATATGAAAGCTAAATTATGCCTGAATGTCAGCTCTTTAAAAACCATCTATGTATGCATTTAAGGCATGTAAGATAAAATAAGGTCTCCCATTTCATACTATGGCATCTCTTGCCAAAGCATATAGATGATAAAAGCTGACTGTAGATTTTTTCCATCCTTCATATGTCAGTTTTCAAAGCATGATATGCCTGTAGATTTTATTTTGTCAAACACAATTTTACATGCTAACTGAAAACAGCAATCCTTTTTCAAGGTGTAAAATGAAACTATTGATTATGTGTAGTGTAGGATATTTGATCGTGATCAGTGTGACCCAGGTGAGTTCTTTGGCCTTGGATAGGATAAAACTCAAATTTTTTATTCATGTTTCAAATGATATCCAAACATATATTAAATCACAAAATATATGAAACTATATGATAAAACAGTATGTTAAACCACAAAAATGCTCATTTTTAAAATGTATGATGACCAAAGTTTTATGCGCTGTGTTGGTGGAACATTTCTGATCATTTTCGTTGCATTCTGGGAAGGTTTATTTTGCATAAAAACAAAATCTGGTAACTGAGAAAAGTAATATTTACATCCGTGATTTTCTGCCAATGCTCAGGTGAGCTTCAAATCCTCTCCCTGCACAAATGAGCCAGTTTTAAACAAAGAAATATGATTGCATTCAGTCTGTTCAACTTCACTGATGAACCCCTAAGGCTTTGAAATCATCCCCTAACACTTGACCTTTAAGTTAAGACAGTTAAGACCTTACAGCAACTGGAAAAGATGTCAGTTTGTTGGCGTAAGATCTCATCTGTGTAATAGATGGGATAAAACTCAGATTTCTATTTGAGGTCAACCTAAATTGAGAATACTGGATGAAGTAGAAAGTGTATGCGTCCACTATAAAATACAGTTCTACCATTTCAAGAAATCATATTGTAAAAATTACTGTACAGAATACAGGGCAATTCAGAACAAATACAGCAATTAGAAATGACTATAACTATGTAATTGCAAAGAATTTAGCTCTAAGAATTGCACAGAATATAAAAAAAAGTTCAAAATTTTGTTTGCATTCTTTTATAAATGTTTCATGTGACTGCCCTTGGTATTGGTTTGGACAACAACAAAGCAGTAGTCCATTTCATGCCATACATTCTAAAGCACATCTTGAGTCACCAATGCAAGTGCATTAGAAATGCACATTTCAAGTTCTGGAATTGTTTTCGGCAAAAGAAGCACATACACGCAGTCTTTCACATAACCCTAAAGAAGGAATAGCAGAGTATATGTATTTCCTCTGCTGAAAACCATTCCAGAACTCAAAATGCATGCATATCTTAAGTCACCAATGCGAGTGCATTAGAAATGCACATTTCAAGTTCTGGAATTGTTTTTGGCAAAAGAAGCACACACACACAGTCTTTCACAAAACCCCAAAGAAGGAATAGCAGAGTGTATGTGCTTGCTCTGCTGAAAACCATTCCAGAACTCAAAATGCATGCTTCAGAATGTATGGTGTGAAATGGACTACCACTTAGATGTTCTCCATGTTACCCAAAGGAGTCACATACAACATTTATAAAGTATGTAAACAAAATTTTGGACTGCCTTCTAAATTCTATGTAATTCTTATTGATAAATTCTTTTCAATTAAATAGTTACAGCTGTTTGTTATTGCTATATTTGTTTTAAATCACCCTGTGTGAATATTGGTAAGCAAAGAGAACAAAATGAAAAAATATGTAAAACAATAGAAACATCCAGCTTTTCAATTAAATTTTACTAATATCATATCAGTCATTTGATGATCAATATGACATCTCCTTATTTTGGCATTAGTGGCGAAAGTGCAAATTCCAGCAATCCTGACCTCACCCTACTCTCGCTGAGAAAAGCAATTAAAGCATTTATTCACTAATTGGGAGGAGCAGAAAGCAATTGTTATGGCATCTTCTTGTCTTTGACATATGTGTATAATTCCCAACTTCATAAGGTTGGAAAATCATTATGCAGTTTACTAAGATTTATCAGTATGAATGTTTTTATCAAACTACTGGAGCATCTTGATAAACCCAGTAATAAAATTATTTTTGCTGCTGATTTAGTTGATGTTTTTGCAGTAAGCATAAACTGCATGAAATCTGAACTGAAAGAAAATAATGGATTTTTGATTGTGGGGAAAAAATGACCTCTGAAAATTTGGTACGCAAGTCCGACTCAAATGACATCATGAACTTTAACAACAATATGAAGAAAAGTTCAAGGTATCTTTTTATGGAATGAAATTGCTTCTGTGCACATAGTACCAAAAATTTTAAATAACGATGCTGATTTGTCAGATATATCCATTTGCACAGCAAACAAATACTGAATGATTTAAAGTTTGCATATAGGAAATGAAAACATCAGTCAGTTTTGATTGAACATCATGATATTCAGTGCTGGATGCCCGTATATCTAAGAGATATTAAAAAATATTGTGCTCGGGGTAGGACAGTTTACTATACAAATGAAACCTAGGTAAATTTTCAGCATTCTATAGCCGAAATTTGGCAAGATACCATTACAAAATATCCCAAGAAAGCTTTTTTGAGCAGCCTTTCAACAGGTTTATTTGCTGCATCAGAAGAAAGCTTATGGTGCAGAATTATTGATGTTGGAAATGAGGGCGGATTTATTCTGAAATGTGATATATATTTATTCAAAACTAAAGAAGGGTAAGGAGATTATGGGAAAATGAATGCAGAATGCTATGAAAATTGGTTCCAAAAATTAATGCCTAACTTGCAAATGAATAGTGTAATTGTATTGGATTATTCATCTTGCTGCAACATTTTGTCTGAAACATTCATTCTTCAAATACAGTGAAAAGTCGTTAATTCGGACACCCGTAATCCGGAATGATCTGTAATCCGGACCTCAAAGCTACAAACTTTCTGCGCATGACGACCTTTACGGCTGCGAATACGCGTACGCAAAATACGTTTACGAACGCGCGTTTAATGTATAACGGACGGTATAAGCTACGCTGAAATTATCTAATTTCTAATATCTAATTCTAATTAAATATGTTGCAGATTGCGTTGTTCCTTAATCTTCGAACTGAATTCGGCTTATTATTTTTGCAGACTGTTAGAGCAATTTTATAAAAGTAAGCTTGAACTTTCGATTATGTCAAATAGAATTTCCGATATATATTTACTAATATGTAAAGGATCTACAAAGCGAAAGTATGTTTCGAAGTCCATTAAACAAAAAGTGGAATTGCTGCAAAAAATGGATAAAGGCATATCCTTTGTTTATCTAAACTTTAACGTTTATCTAAACTTTGTTTATCTTTAATGCCGCGGCGCGCAATGAATTGGAAGTTGATCTGTCAGCACTATCCTTATCTTCAGGGCAGATGTTTTTATTTTATTTGGCTTATAATTCCTTACTAAATGTAGTATTTCATCTCGATGTACTCCGTCTTTGATATGATTTAAATCAAATTCCTCGTCATTATAATTCGCTTCCGATAGCGAAGAAAGTGACAGAGGTTATTGAAAACGAAAAAAATTTCGATTGACAAATTAGTCGGTATTCTCGACACAGCAATTATAGGACTTGAACAGCGGAACTTTGTAACTGAACAAGAAATTATGTCTGTTTATAGAATTAAAGAGAAAGTATTATCACATAAAAAACGAAGCAACTTAAACAACTTACATTGAAAGAAATGTTTAATAAAGTAAACAAATAAATACGAGTATTAAGCTTTTTTTTTTGTAAATTTTGATACCCTTTAGATCATAATTGTTCTTTATTTCATAAATTACGGTTTCATATTTTAATTTTATAATTTCTGCATGCCATCTTACCAGATTTAAACTGATGATCTATAATCTGGAAAAATCGATAATCCGAAATCGCCGAAGTCCCGACGAGTCCGGATTAATGACTTTTGACTGTATAATGAAGGCAGACATTCAGCCTTAGTTTGCAGGAATAATTATGCTTTGAGAAACTCATATGTTGAAAGCAGAACTTTTAGTCCTCATTTCTGAGATACAAAAGCAATTTGAATTGTATCTTATCTATGCTGTAGCTGCAGAAGACAGATATATTGTGCTGCATTTTCCATCATATCATTGCGAACTGAATCCAACTGAACTCATATGGAGTAGTATGAAAGGATGGATATGTAGCATCCAAAAACAGAACTTTTAAAAAAGGATGAAGTCCATTAAATTGATTGAGAAAAGGATTTTTTTAGTAGTTCCTGTGCAATGGACTAAATGCATGATACACATAATAGAACAAGAGAAAATGTAGAAATTAGACTGTCTGTTAGAGAACACAGCTGAGTGCATGAAATTTAACATTGATGAGGTGGATAGTTCAGATTCTTCAGATGATAATCTTAGTGAGATTAAATATGTCAATTTATAAAAAAGGTCATCAGTAAATATATTTAATCAGTAAATATATCATATTTCCAAAGTCATCAGTAAAAAATACAAGGGTTCTTTCCAAAGCCATTAATTAAGAAAAAAGCAGACCTATAAACAATTGTAAATAGACCTATAAACAATTGTAAATAATGTAATAAATACAAGCTAGCATCCCTTAGAAAATCATAACATGAAAGTATTCCACTTGTCATCAAGTTGTTTAGACCGCTGAATGTTGATAGTTCAACCTTAGTTAAAATCCAAGCAAACAGACTGGCTTCATGGCTGCCTTTCTCCTTGGTAATGTGAATACAAGCCAGTTTCCTTTAAAAAGACCTCCACAAATGCATCACATCCCTTAGATAGCTCTCAAGTGATTTGCCATATTCAAATTACCTAACCAAAAAATATGGAAATATTCATCTCTTAAGTTAACTATGACAGAAGGAACAAGGTTTTTCTGTCCAAAGGAAGAGATGTCTTTATGGAGGATTTTATAAGTTTTTGTGTTTTTGTGTAATAAATACAGTGGAAGACTCTCTTGCAGTTGGTTTTAATCATTACAAATGAACTCATTGCATACTGAGCCATTCTTGCTGTCAAATGGTGGGCCATTCTACCTCCATGATTTATGTGCTGCTTTTGTTTTTGGAGCTTTGAAATCTAAAAGCTATAATTTTTAGATTTTGTATTTTTTCTTTTAAGTTAGCATTCGTCTTGAAAGTACGACTGCGGTGAGAGCTTTTGTTGCTGAGCAGCTAACTTCCTGTCTTTTACTATAACCGAAGGCTGTGATTATTTTCATAGTGATATAATTTGTTGCTGAAATGTTCAAGTTTCTTCCTAAATAATAAATATTTGTGTCAGAAGTATTGATTGTAATCTAGTCTGTGACTTATGATTTACTTCAGAACCATACTGGTGTTCATGGAAAAATCTGTCAAGTAAACAAGATTTATTTATAATTGCAAGTTTTGGAATTTCCTGATGGAACATTTATGGCACTGGAATAGGGATGTAAGTCTTAAAAAAATTGTTTTGAAGTGAAAAAGTGCATATGAACTTCTAATGCATAAATAGAGTAATATTCTATGTTAAGTGATATTAGATATTGTAAAGTTTATGAGAAGTGTTAATAAATTATTGATTTTCTTTGGTTGATTGCATAAATGAATAGAATATATTCTGTATTTATGAGTGTTTACTTTAACAATGTTGAATTTTAAGTAGATATGTTCTATACTTATGTTTTATGATATTGAATAGACTTATATTCTATACAAATAAAGATTTTTAAAAATAATCTTAAGTTAGGGAAGAATAGTATTTATTATCTTTTTTGAATGTACAATATTATGTTTTCATTTAGTATACTTTTGATTTAGGAATATTTGTTAAAAGGGAAATCAGTCTTAAGTTATAGATCCGCTAATTAAACTGCATGTTTCATATTGAGATACCTTTATAAAATTTTCAGAAAAGGTACAGGATTATTTTTGCATAAACTTGATGTATGCAGGTTTTATGCGATGCTGGATTTGTATACAGAATCAAAATCTAATTAATGTCTTAAGAAAGTAAATATTGAAAATTTTGTTTTTGTTCATTACTTTCAAAGCAACAAACTGGGTGAAAGCTAAGCAAATGGTCTGGGGGAAGGGAACCCAAACTGCAGGAAATACATTGTTAGCTCTTCCCTTGCAAGTTTTAAGTAATGATCCAATTTTTAAGTATTATCAGATTTATGTGTGTTATATTTAGGTAATGGTGACAAATTTCATAGTAATTAAGGAAATGAATAACATTTTGCCCTACAATTAACTATCAACTGCAGCTTCATCGCTTAAAAATATTATTAACTAAATAGGCCTAGTTTGGCAAGAAGTTACTAAATATGCAGTGAATTTGAGCAGTTGAACATCTGCGGGCAATTTGGTGCCTGTGGATAACTCACAAAACAGGGTGAAAACGTGTTCTCTGGTTAAATTGGCATGAGGTTTAATAACTTCTGTTGAATGATTTGAGCCAAATACAGTGAGCAGCATAAGAAGGAAAAGAGGAAACAATTCTCTTGAGAATAAATGCATTTATTAATGATTGTGGTATATATTTTCTTTTATGTGCTTTGTAAATTTTGCACGTTTCATTTTGAAGTATTAACCATGGTATACCAGCTGCAACTATTCTCGTAGATGGCAGTGCATATGTTAATAATTATTGTAATCTTTTTAAACCTGAATTGTATAAAATTGACAAGTTCCCCCTCTAAACATTTGTTCTTTTTTCCCTCTTTAAATTAGGACTTATGCTCTCTCTCAGAAGGCCTTGAAGGACGTTCATTGAATCCGGTATCTGTTTTATTTGATACATTAGTTCATCCACAAGCTGACCTTGGAATAGAAAATCCCTCTGTTATATCTTGGATCAAAAGGCCTGAGGATGCAGTTAATCATGTTGTTCTGGGAAGAGGTGTTCCTGGAGGTTCCTGGCAGGTGCTTATTTTTTAAATAATTTTCTACATTAAAATTTTCTAGGTGTCTTTCAAAATTCGTTTTATATTAGATGTGTTCTGTTTATGTTGTTTTTTAACATGAAATTTTTCACATTTAAGGAAAAATAATATATTAATTTAATTATTCCTTGTTTTTTGTTATTAAACTGTTAAGAATTTTTTTATTATTCATAAAATACTTTAAACATTAATATAGGGCATTTGTAATATTAGAATAAACTTTTGTTGTGTCCAAGAAACCTATTTCCACCAGTTCTAAATCAAAATTCCATTATAATATGAATAAATTTGTTTTAATACTTATTCTGCAATCTTATTGTGTCTATCATCGGTGACCAATCTTGCTGTCAGGCCACATTATTGACCAATATTGGCTGTTAGGCAAGCCTGTGACAGGATTAAAAAAAAAAAAAAAAAAAAAAAAGATGTTTGGTAATGGATTTCTTGATGCATGTATACAAGGTTCTGCGCAAAATATCATATCTTTTGTTTTCTTTATTGCACATTTATTTATGATAAGAAATCATACAAAAATGAATGCACAGTTAATTGTCTGAATATGGTTTGGTTATTTGAATATGCCAAAGCACACAAGAACTATCTAGAGGAAGTATCCCTTCATGGTTGTCTTTTTCATATCCTTTGTTTTCTTTATTGCACATTTATTTATGATCAAAAATCATACAAAAATGAATGCACAGTTAACTGTCTGAATATGGCTTGGTTATTTGAATATGCCAAAGCACACAAGAACTATCTAGAGGAGGTATCCCTTCATAGGGGTCTTTTTAAGTGAAGCTGGCTTAGTTCATATTACACATGGGAAAGAAAACCCATGAAAACCAATCATGTTACCATGCATCCACCCTGTTTTGCTGGGTGTAAACCGAGAATGAATTACTTGTATTCAGTAGTCTTTAACCAGGTAGCCACTGGTGGGATGTCTCAGGACAGAAAGTGAATGTATTAAAGAATGTGTTCAGTGTATCCATTTTGTTTCATTACCTTTTGCAAGCAAACGTTTGAATTTGTCAAAAACCTGCAGTGCACATCTTCCTGAAACCACACAGCATAACTGCACAGTAAGAGCCATGAATGGCAGTAGATTTGCAAATAATGAAAGTCTGTCAAAAAAATCCCATGAAAATAAATCACATGTATTAATATCTTGGTTATGTGGGGGTCATTATACATTCACCACCACTTAGGAAACCAATGTAACATTACTAGCACAGTATTGTGTGTGTGTGTGTGTGATTATGGCAAAGCCCTCGAGGGCTATCTGCCTAAAGGGAGGGATGCCTTTCGTGAAGGACTTTCTAAGGGAAACTGGCTCGTATACACGTTACACATGGGGAAAACCACGAAAACACCCATGCAGCCAGCCCGTTCGCGGGATTCGAACCTCGGACCGAACTACCAGTGTTCAGCGACTTTACCGCTTGGCCGCTGGTGGGCTTCACAGTAAACATCTCCATAGACAAAATCAAAAATATTTTTAAGGTATGATAAAAAATCATACAAAAATGAATGCACAGTTAATTGTCTGAATATGGTTTGGTTATTTGAATATGCCCCTTCCCCCGTCTTGCATGAACCACTAAGTGTGTAAAGGGAGACATGTTATTTTCAGGTGTAGGAACACATGATACATGTTGTCGATTCTTCTCCAACCTAGAGTCAATATCTTTCAAGTACTAACAAATTCTGTAAATGGTAATTCCATATACTGTACCATATTCTGCAATTGCTAACAAATTATATTTGCAAAAAAGTGCTTCGTGTACTGAAATGCACTGAAACATCTTTGTATCATGACTTGTTTTCTTCAAAAATCATGACGACTTTCACCTTCTGTTCAGCACTAAACCAGCCATTATATCGCATTTTGCAAAATGCTATTTTGCAGCAAATAAATAAGAGTTTGATTCCAACTTTCCTGACATGTACCAAATTATCGACCAATAAAAGAGTTCTGAATATGTGTTCAATGTAAGAAACATCTAAATATATAATTTCAATATTTAAAAAATTATGGGATGACTGAATTCTATGGCATTTTTGTTTCCCACCCTGTATTTTCAGATGTTTTCTAATTATGTGCAGTGCACATGTATATTTCTGATAGTGTAAAGTTAGAATTGATGAATTTATTACTTTTAATGAGTGCCTTTCGTACTCTTATTGATATTTTATATTTGGTTTCTATACTGTTGTATCTGTGAAACACAAAAATGATTTGAACATTTTGAAATAATCATTTATATTGCAGGATTGTTCTGCACAAAATATGTTGTACAGCCTATGCTGCAAGTACTTATTTTAAATTGTCCCTGCTGTCTTCTGAAAGTAGCCAGTAGTATTCTCTATTATAATCTTCTGAATGGGAATTCCCATTCTTTTTGAAATTTTGTGCTGTTGAATTTAGAATGGTAAAACGTAATTAGCTGTTTATGATGACATATTGATTTTTTTCATTGTGCTTGTATTACTGTAATTTAAGAGATAAATGATTATTATAATTTTTAATATTAATATTAAATATTATGCAATAAATAGCTATAATAGATATATTTTCTGCAGAAAATGGATGGGTCAACCATAACAATTAGTCTTGGATCATGGATGGAGCTTCCAAATTTGAACATTAGGGAGTGGGATGCCAGAAGAAGCAGGTTTGGAAATTATTAACATATCTTTTGAAATTATAAGAATTGATTATGAAGTTCAAATATAAAATTTTTCAGCATGAAATACTTAATTTTAGACATAATTTAATTGTTTTTCAGACCTTATTATGTACTTTTAATTTTTTATTATTATTATGTACTCTTATTATGTACCTTATTATGTACTCGGTATATGCATTTATGAATGGCTATGTGTAACTCTTAACTTGAAGGTGCTACTTTTATATCATATTATAAATAGCAGCCTTTATTGGAAAATTTTCTTTTTCAGCTTTACATTGAACATTTCCAGTAATATATCATTGTTAAATTCTTCTCCCTGACGTAAAATGTTGCTTGACCGCACTCATATTCATAAAGTATTTTGATAATTTACTAAGATTGCTGTCCCTATGTGTTGATGAATAGGCTAAATAACACATGCATTTGAATGTTAATTATTACATTTCTTAACTAATTATCTTTCTATCATCTTTATATTGTTCAGCTTTATGTCCTAGATTTATTAAATGTTAATTTTAATATTTTTGTTTGAATGAGTTTTCTAAAAATTAATTTCTGTGTAACGTGTGATAATAAATGTACATGGAGGCACCATTCGTATGAATGTCCATTAGTACTTTTGCAAATAAATCTTTCTTCATATTATGAGTCTTTAAACATAAGCAGTTTTAATGTGCTTGCTGTGGTGGGGGTTTGCAGGATTTTCTGATGTGTGATATAAGTGCATTATTCCAGAAAGGCATTTATTCCTTCATAGGCTGTCATTCTCAAAAGGTTTTGTTATTAATCTAACTAATTGTGTCACACTTTTTTACATGTTGCTACAACAAATCATGTAACATTTTCAAATTTTGTTTCGCAAAAACTGTCAATGTACATTGCTGCCTAGATAAGATAATGGTCAGTGATACTCACTTATGTACCGAAGGGCCCAGGTTTGAATCCTGTGGGAGGCATGAATATTAGTTAGCATATAGTGTCTGTGCAGCAAAGGGCTACTCAAGAAACACACCCAGTTGAAGTTATCTTGAAAGGTTGATGGTAGGAGAAGAGAGTTGAGAAACCCTCGGATAACTACATTAGGGTGTTCTTTGGAATTACATCCAGCACAGAAGCTTAAGAGGCCTGTCGATACCTAATATGCCTACTTGGATGCGTAGGTGCTGACCTTTCTTCAACCTGTATCTGTCAGTGCAAATTGCTTTTAGAAGTAAACTTAATTTTTAAAAAATAAGTATTAGAAATGCATTTACGTGTTCAATAAATGAGATTTAAAGTACTCATTTGTTAAACTTTAATTGATCATGGTGTCCCCAAAGCTTTATTTTAAAAAAAAAAGAGTTCATAATTTTAGCTGTTATTTGCTATGAAATGTCTTTGACACTTATTATTTATTAGAAACATTTTACATTTATTTATTAAAAACATATATTCTTATGACGATTAAGAGATGATTGTTTTGAAAATATTATGAAATTAAAAAGCAAAGCAGAAATGGAATTCTATGGCAAACTTTTAAGGTAGTATATATATTTGTAAAATTTGGGATCTACCGTAATTTCGCACGTATAGTCCGCAGACACGATTTTATATAAAAAAAAAATTAAAAATTGTCAGATAGTCCGCGGACTATACGTCCGAAATTACGTTTTTTAATACGGCAATATCCCATGCTTTTTAAACACATCCTTTTGTTTGCGCAAATTTCTCACCGCTTTTTGTCCACTTCAAAATACGGAGTAAAAATCCTAGTATACGGTGCAGCCTTGGCGCGACTTTGAAAATTATCGCCAACACCAAAAATGATCCAAAGAACGTCTATATATATATACTATACACGCATAGTATATATCTATATACATAGTATATACTATGTTTAACTATATATTTTCTTTGAATGACCCGTTAACTACTCATCGTAATGTCCCGTTTTTACTGCTCATCATAAAGTCGCCAAAAGTAGTCAATCCCGTGTGCACCGGATACTAGGATAAACCAATAACGGCCCCGCTTCTCTATTCCATCTTTTTCAGTTTTCTCAATCTAGCAGTAAATCTGGCGATGTTTCATCAACGTTATCGAAGATGAATGACAAAATACTGTGCAACGTGCTATCCTCATGATAAGTGGTAATGAAATGTTACCTTCGACCCCACTCACTTGGTGTTGCCAAACCACGCTATAAGTAAACAAATCACGCTTTTTTTTTTGTACTCCAGGTACTTGCTACTATGCTCCTAAAAACCGAGTTGACGCATCAACTACTTTCCCCTCCCGGCAGTTGTGCTAAAAGCATGCGAAGGATACTTGGAACTCACGTTTTTTTTATATTTGATAATCGGCAGTTCACGAAGCGTGTTTTTTAAATTTCAACAATTTTAACCGTGAACAACCAGCGTATTATCCGCACTGGTGGATAGTCCGCAGCTTCAAAAATTCACATTTTAAACACAGATAGTCCGCGGACTATACGCGCGAAATTACGGTATATAAATGACACTACAGCAGGTATACTGCAATATATGACTGGCATTGGCAGCACATGCTTTTCAGAACATTCTCCAGATCTTATGGAAGGTTTTTCTATGTTTCAGGGCTATAACCAGGTTCCTTTCTGGTCCTTGTTAGGTTTGGATTTCTGCTTTTCACTTCACAAGACCATCATGTGCACATTAAATGAGATTTATGCTAGATGAGTGTGCAAGCCTCTCTACTGAATTTATTCTTTCACTTTGTGGCAGTTTATCAACACAATATGAATGCTAACTAGTATGATCTATAAAAACATGAGTTAATTTCTGATTGCAAAATAAAAATTCTTTGCATGAGGTTCTATAATCTACTAAATATACCAAGCAGTCATGGTTCTTCTTTTTGGGACTAGTAGCTCCATATCTATTAGCATTTTCCAAACCCACACCATTATTTCAAAATCTTTATGATGTAACTTAAGTTATTTTGGCTAAGTAACCTCTATGAGTTTCATAGTCATGTCTTTATTCAGATAATAAGCAAGATCTGCTTTCAGGCATGAGCAGAATGTCAATCTGTTGCCTGTTAGTTCCGCTGTTCATGACAGCATCTTTTAACAGATTGTTTTCAGTTTTAACTCTATGTGAATTTGTAAGTGCATGAGTCAACCTGCTGACATTCCTTCATTTGATCTAGTGTGATATTGGGATTTCCATGCTGGACTGTTTTATTTTGGCAGCAGTTGTGTATGTTTTTCTCATTACAGTGTTTAATAATATTCATAGAAAGTTGTATGGTGTGGTGAACCACTGCTGCACTTTCTGGTAGCTGATTTACTTTCTGAAAACTGTTTTCATTGCACAAGTGAACTCTTTTTGTACAAGTATTCTTTGACTGTGAACTCATTTGCTACAATCTTATGCTGATAATCTTTCTAGCAGTTTATCTAAAATCTATCATGTGTAATTCAGTCAGATATCGTTTGTTACACTCTCCTTAAAAATGCAAAACTAAAATTTTTAGCTTAGCTCATCTCTGGAATCTCTATCTATACTGCCTTGCTTTAACAAACATCAATTAAGAATGTTTTGTTGGGCATTTCTCTTTATTTCCATAGTTGTTCATGAGTTTCTTATTGGTTAATTGATGCCATCAACAGATTTTCATTGTTCGTAGACAACCATTCTGCATTCTGAAATCTTTATTTTATGCTTGGCAATTTAGGGACATCAATGTAACTATGCAGTTGTAGCATGTAAATGCAGTTGTAGTTGTAAGATTAATTTATAATTTTGCTCATTTCATATGCATGTGTATTTCTTGTATTCTTAATTTTGTTAGAATTAACTGTTAATATTTGGGAATTTAAAAATATATTTTTATTACCTTTTAGGTCATTAGGATATTCAGGTTTGCGTCAGAAGCGAGCAAATGTTGCACTGGTTGCAGAATATTATCGTTATTATGTGCATTCACAAGACTTAAACCAGTATTTTGTAAATAATGCTGTAGTAACATCAGTTGCACCAGTAGATAAAGCTACAGCTTATAGTCATGGCTTTGATCATCTGTGGAAAATTACTGGAAACATTGAAAGCCCAAATTCGGAACTCGGTCATCAGGAGACTTTTAGCTATATTTCACCAAATGTTGTTCTAGCTACTGGAAATTCAGATCAGCCAAATGTGCTAAATATTGAAGGTGAAAATTTACCATTTGTGCTGTATTCCTTATCATCTTTAGAAGAGGTAATTAAAAAAGAATTACTTTCCCCTGAATCTGGCTGTTTGCTCATTGTTGGTGCTGGTCTTAGTGCAGCAGATGCAGTAATCGCTGCTCGTTTTCATGGCATTCCAACTGTGCATGTATTTCGACGTTCAGTCTATGATCCAGATCTCATTTTCAATAAACTTCCACAAGATATTTATCCTGAATATCATAAGGTTCACCAAATGATGCAAGATTCAAATAAAGATCATTATGAGGGTTATAAAGCTTTTCCAAGCTCTCAGGTTTGTGCTATCAAACCTGACGGCACTGTAGTCATTGAATGTCTTAACACTAAGAAATTATTTTTCATAAAAGTTTCTTACGTACTTGTCTTGATTGGTATGCATCCTAATTTGACATTCTTGCCGCACAAAGGTTTGAAGCTTGGTGTAAATCCTGAGGAACCTGTTAATTGCAAGAATAATCCTATTGATATAAAGTTGTATAGTCATGAAAGTTTATATTATCCTGGCATATTTGCTGTTGGTCCTTTAGTTGGTGATAACTTTGTCAGATTTGTGCAGGGAGGGTGTCTTGCAGCTGCTAGTCATATTGTAAATCATATTAAACCTAAGAATGTATAGGAATTGTATATTAGTCTGATGATTGCTCACAAAATTTGTTTCACATAATATTTCTTATGACTAGTTTTTTAAGCAACACTTTTGTGATTATAATTCCTTGTTATAATGACACCACTATGCATAGGTAATGTGGTCTGATATGTTATTAATAACTAACAGGATGTACTTAAAAATTATTTATATAGAGATTCAGAAAATTTTAAGTTTTGCATTGCAAATCTCTATTAACTTTTGTATTCTAATTTTTATATTTGTAATAATAATGCCTTTAGATATTTTTATATAATGATAGATAATAGGATAAGTGCTTTATCACAGCTATATATGCACATGCATTGTAATGTTGTTATTTTCCATAAGTGTGTAAATATCTGTTAAATATGACTAGATTGTATACTGTTTTGATATCTGGTGATAGTGTGGATAGAATATTGAAATATTTACATATCTTATTTTTGTACAAGCATTTTGTCTCATTCATCTTTTAGGGTTTATTATGTTTTAATGTTAAATAATTGATTAGCTGGTAATCATGATATGATTATGCATTTCTGAATTATAGGGTATTATCAAAATCTGGTAAATTAGAAGTTAAAAATATCATTATTACGTATGGAAATTTATTTCAGTTTATGCACTTTATTATACTGGCTACCAAAAAGATTCTTTGAACTCTTGAAAGAAATTCTGTACAGTATCTAGACTGTAAATCTACTTAATATTTTGTGAATCATTAAGGGGGCGGATTAAAGGCATTTTTTAAAAATAAATTATGAGTGTGAGGAATTTGGAAAGTGTGCTTTTCTAATCTTGTTATATTCAACTCTAAACAAAAAGTTTTCAGTTTTGAGCAAAGAATGTTTCTTGATATGTATTTAAATTTATTATTTGTTGGATACATGTTGTATCTTCTAGTTTTTATCTTTTTTATGCACAGTGGCTAATTTCATGACAACAGCATTTAGTTAAACCTTCACTCTTTTAGCTACAAAGTTTGGCATGCTGAATTTTTGTAATAATTTAAAATATTTTATTTTCATTTCTTATTTTTGGAGGATCAAATAAAATTTGTGGAGCAGAATATTTTTTTTTTATTTAGAGGTAAGCAGATATGAATATAAATTTTCACATATTTAGTGAACCAATTTTAATGTAATGTCACAATTTTGTATCTGCTGACTTATCTTTAGAATTGGATTTATTCAATCAAAAATAGAACTTTAGACAGGATTACTGGCTAACAGGACTTTTTAATATTTCCCCCTTGATGTTGTATAAACTCTAGAAGGGAAATACATTTTATAAAATTAAAATCACGAACTTATAAATGAAAAAAATTCATTAATGCATCTAGTAATTGTTGCCTAACTTTTTGACAGCATGTGTGCTGTGATGTCTGAGTACATATGCTCTTGCTTGAGTAAATGAAATTGTTTTGAAAGAAATGTGAGATTTAGTGTTTGATGGTTTCTTTATGAAACTGATTAAGCACGGTGACACTGAGAAATCATTGAAGATTTTAAATATCAGATTATTAGCCAAGGTACATCTATAATTCACATGAAATGTATAAGATAAATTATTACATTATAGAATTTGTGTCAAGTATTTAAATTACTTATATCATTCCACAGCACAATTAAACTGTTATAGCATGAAACTTTGCTGTTACAGATTAACAAAATAGATATAGCAACAAATACTTTTAGTTGAAAGATTTCTGTATTTTTTAAATTAGTTCAATGTGCAAAGCTGTTATACACTTTTAAGTAAATGATGATGCTGGTGTTGCTTGTTCCAGTGGATTTTTATAAAAGGTTTATTAATTCTTTTCATCTGTTCAATTTATGAGGTTTTCTTCACTTTCATGGTGTCGCTTAAGTCTGTTTTTTATTCAAATTTTCATTTCTCATAAGGTTTAACTATGCATACACATGTGTGTACATATATTTATATATGCATATAGATTTAAGTGCTAATTTATGTTCTTGTACATATGCATTAACACATCATCACTTTACTGAATTAAAACATACAACCAATGAAGGAAGAAGATGTTTGTTATGGAATTGATATATGTGATCTCTAGCATTTGTCCGGTGAAATATAATTTTGAGTGTGAAAATAGCTTAATCTCACTTTCAGCCAAAATTCTACATGACTTTAGACTGAAATTTTTATCTTTGAAAGTGGTTGTAATGGAATTTTAAAAATTGTAAACAATCATGTTTTAATGAGGCCTTAACTTCATCACCTGTTGAATAAGCATTTTAGTATTAATCTTCTCATAGCAATATATTATATGTGGTTATAGCATTTAGGTATAGTTTATAGGGAGAAAATTGTAGCAGACTTTTGACTAATCACGGAGTGATGAAGATTCATCTCACATGAGGGCTTTTGCATTGTTTGCCAATGAGGAAATTTATTCAGTTTGTTCAGTTAGTTTATGTATAATGTTTTATTTTTACATAAGATAAAACTTGTGCAGTATAAATATTTAACATGTAAATGTTTAATATTCAAGTGTAAGCAATTTTTTAAAGATAATTATTATTAGCAATACATTTTCATGAGCAATAAATTATTCCATTATAGTGAAGGATTTTGATATGAATTTTGAGTGGATTTGTATCTTCTCAATATGCAAATGTGATCTGAACTTGTTTGTTATTCAGATAAACAAAGCTGATATAATCTGACTTTGAAAATCTGTTTTATAGCATCCAGAAAAATATGTATGGTAGACTCATAATTGCACATTATGTGTGCTAACTGTACATACTGTTTGCTTGTATTGTTGTTTTAGCCTTGTATTTATAAGAATATTCTATGCAAATGCATCTTAAAATGGAATACGTGCCTTCTCAGAAAAAAAAAAAAAAGTCATATATTTGTTAATATGCCGTAAATCATTTTATGTAAGTGTAGATACGAACATGCACATTACATTTCAATTTAATATTTTGTATGCTATACTGGTGCCAAAGTTTCTTCATGTGTACATATGAAGTATGTATTCATTATGAATCGTAAGTCTTATGCAAAAATTTTCTTTAACCTTCATTCCATGATGAAGTATATACATAGTTTTAATTTTGTAACATTTTACCAAATTTTAGTTAAAGTTTTTAAAGTTTATTCTAAGCATTGTTTCACTTTTGCTGTTAGAATCTCTGACGGTTATATTTGAAATTGTTTATAGATGTACTGAATAAATATATTATTTCTAAAAAATTCTTCTTTTATGTGTCTGTAAAATGAATTTCAGTTGTGGAAATGTATAACCATTCTATTTTTACATAAGAAAGCTTCACTGCTCATTCAGTGCAGGATTTCTGTAAGTGCATGAAATGAAATCTGTTAGATTTGCTTGCATGGCTTAAACATGCATAAAATAATTGTTACATTTTTATAAAATTTTTTAAATTATAAAATGTCTTCCAATTAACATTAAATGTTATCTGCTTCAGAATACTAAGTTTCAAATGCAAGCACTGAAGCTTATATATCTAAATCTGTTTTGAAATCTTTCTGCATTGAACTGCAATCAGAGTAATTCTGCAATATGATATGTTAAGAAAGATTAAGGAACTGAAATTTTAAAATTATATAATACATTAACAAATAAAAAAATTTAATGGTGAATATTTACAAAAAAGTACTGGTATGAGAATTATTCCATTCTTATGTGACCAAAAACTTTTGCTGTCTTAAAAAATCGTAAATTCTTCCAAGATTATACAACAAAATTTCAAAATTATTCCTTTGTATTTCGCATAAGTATCCTAAGCCAGCATTTATTTTAATTTAAAAGCTATTTTTTAAGGCTTTATTTTATTATAGAGCGGAAAAAGTCGTGTTATTCCTAAGATCAATAAATTGGTAAAACTATTGATAAACATTCTGACACTCCCCCCCCAAAAAAAGATAAAAATCCGCTAGCAGTAAAATGTAATATAGAGGTACACTCAATCCCCCCCCCAAAAAAAGAAGGTACAGTTCTACATCTTCAATTCTACTCAGCTGATGACAGAATTCAACTTGCAATTTCATCTATTGAAAACTCGACTTAAGATCTATATTAGATTTATATATAGGATTGTTCTAACATATATCTTCTTGACACAAAATCAGACCTTTTCTGAAATAACGTCAATTTTTTTCATATTATGATTATATGGTTGAAATTATGGCTAAAAACCAAATGTTATAAATTTGGCCTGAAATTGAATTAGTAATTTAAAAATTTACCTTGCTGCACTTTATTTACTTAGTACCAAGAATACACGTAGCAAACCTTTTAGTTTACGGCAACCTATTTCACTTTTACTTTCATTCTGTGTGAGAAGAAAAAAACATTTTTCATTCTTGCCATATACACTCTTTTGCAAAAAAATCGAAACACCAAAGAAGGACTTTTACGATCATGACAAAATCTGGTATGCAAAAACAACTTAATCGAGCATGGAAATGATAAAAATTTCGAGGCAAATGAACAGGAATTGCGATCCTAGTGAGCATTTCTAGTGTGCAGTTCACAAAGTATAAAACCAATAACAGAGGCTTAAAATTTATCTTTTTTGTTGCTGCCATTGTAATTCCATAAAGAAGCAACTAAAGATGCCATTACGATGATATTGAAGACATTACAGACAACTAAGCAACTTCAAACGTGTTTGCATTGTAAGGATGCATGAAGATGGGTGGTAATACCGAGCAATAGGCTGCGACCTGCAGCGTACAGACATTTCTATGCATTGCAGCAATAGTTGCTACAAAGAAATTGCCGATGAAATGAAGGGCTCTGGAAAAGCAAGGAGAACAAATACGAGGCCAGATAGGATGATTATTCGCCAGGCCCGAACCACTCCAATGGTTATCATTCTCGACTATTCAACGCACTACAGCCACGTCTGTACCTCTCGTGATACCGTCCACCATCTCACGCTGCTTGTCTGAGGCGGGGTTACGCTCACAGAATACTTTAAGATGTTTGCCTTTGACCCCACAACATTGACATAGCCGTCTAGAGTGGTGTCATATAGTGTTCAGTGATGAATCCCGCTTCACTCTTGAAGCAGATGACCACTGTGTTCGTGTCTGGAAAGGACGGGACCAGCGGTCCCAATCAACCTTTGTTTTTCAAAGGCATACAGCCATCACCCCTGGTGTGATGGTGTGGGGTACTATTTCTTATGACAGCAAGTCATCTTTAGTCATCCTCCGTACATCTTTGATAGCTCAATGATATGTTGATACCATCTGTGGTCGGGTGCATCACCCTTTATGGCACGTCATTCTGAGGCCATTTTCCAAAAGATAATGCCAGGCCACGCACTGCTCGCCTATCTCTGGACTGTCTCCATGCGGTTGATACTCTTACTTGGCCAGCAAGGTCACCTGATCTTTCACCAATCGAGCATGTCTGGGGCATAGCAGGCCGCCAGATTCAGGCACCACAAAATATTGCAGATCTGGAGCAACAACTGATGAATACCTGGCATAATGTGTCGCAGGATGATATTAGGAACCTCTACCACTCTTTGCTTTCACGAATTCAAGCATGCATTGCCGCTAGACCAAGAACTAATTTGAACACTGAATGGGTGATTGTGAGCCGTGAATAGGTACCATAACCTTGATTTTTTAATTATTTTATTATCTATATATGAGCTATACACATATTCAATTTCATCAAAAACAACCACTTACTTCATGGTGCTTCGATTTTTTTTTTTTTTTTCTTTCCCCAAAAGACTGCATTTTTACTTCATATTATATTTTTTTCTTTTTAAAATTTCAGTTATTTCAATTGCGGGGCTAAATTTTAGTTTTTAAGTGGTTATTTTAAACATTTCTGTTTATTCATTTGCATTGTGTACTTTAAGCATGTTTATTCATATATACATTTTTTTAAAATTGCATTTATTTCATTTGCATTTCTTTTGAAAGAATGCATTGGCACCCAGTGTTCTTCACAATGCCTCTGAATACTGCATTCTGCATTAAAAGAGAAAATACCATAAATTATGGTTAATACGTCCTTCAGTAGAGATATATAAATGAGTTGTATTATCTACATTTTGTTTTAGAATGATATGCATATAAACAATTATACACGGTTTTTATCACTGTCATTGCTTTATACAATTTTATTACCCTACATTTAGTTTATTAAAATAATATCCATATTTCTAAATAAATTCAAATTTTTCATTTTTTAAATCTTAAATCAAATAGCATAACAAAAAAATTATGTTAACAAATAACAAGAAATATTTCATTTTCTTAATGCCTTAAATTTTTTTAATGGCTTATTGCCTCAAGAAAACCTGAATGCCAAGCAGATACATCTGCAGTCATTCTTTTTTATTCACTATATACCATACTTTATTTTCAAACAGCTTGCTTTCTCTAATCTTCTTATGAATAAAGTTACTGCCTTCCATTTCAATAATTGGCCAAAGTAAACTAGTGAAGTGATTTTGTCCATGATACTAAATGTATTCAGATGCTAGGTATTTTAAAGCGCAAGATGAAATATAAGACTAGTTTCATCAACACCGAAATTATTTTCAGCTGATATTTAAGATTAAAAGTCATCTACTTAATTCTTAGCTCTTTTAGTCAACTACTCAACAAAGCACTTGAAATTGCAGCACTGTTTTGACACCTCAGCCTGTAAGATAAATGTCACTTAATCTAAACACCTGTTTAATCTTCCCATAACAAATAACTCAGGGATATAATCGTCTCATCTTTGGCTTGGATTCCAAGAGTGTCAATTGAATACAAAAACAGCAAATGCATCTGATTACACATTTGCATTATGGCTTGGAATTTTAAAAACTAACGCGTTAATGAAATTCTGCTGGAAAATATAATAATACTTTAAATATTTGCAAATCAAATAGTAAATAAGAATCTGTAAAGTTGCCATTATACTTAGGAACTAGAGTTAAAATTCTGCAGGCCTACGAGACAGCAAGTTATTGCTTACGTCTTGAACCACTCATAGCATACAAATGAAGTTTTAAATAACCTTTTAATTTTATTCTTAGTTTGAACATAAAAGCGTAACTTGTGGATATTTTAAATTAACAGAACAGACAACTTCGAGTATCGATAATGTAGTCTGAGACTATGTATTAAATAGAATAAGTTGGCTGATATAATTTCTCGACGTGTATTTAAACATCAGCAAGAGAGAATGCTAAAGCCGGAAAATACCGTATATTTTGGCGTATAGCGTACACTTTTAATACAGAAAATAATATCAAAATTATGCGTTATATGCCAGATGTAAAAATCAGTAAAAGATCCAGATACAAAAATTCAATTTCTACATGTACCTAAATGCTGTTTATTTAAAAGAAATGACATACTTAAAAATATTCTTTATTGGATAACATGAAAGGTTCGTCATACTCGTTTCCGTTATAGATTCAGGTGCTGTTCTGTTCACTTTTGCCCCGTTGCTCTCATCCCTGATTAAATCATCTTCTGTTGAATCTATATCATTAGATACATTTTTTAAAGACTGATGACTCCCAATTTTTTAATGTCATTTTTTTGTCGAGTGTAATTTTATTCCATGCTATTAAAATCCACTCTTATCCATTTACTAGCATAACTCATTTGACTTCCTTTTGTAAATGTTTTCTTTTCCCTCCATCTTCTAACATTGATGCATTCCACCTTTGTTTAAAATTTTCTTTTAACGGTTTATTGATACACATATTTAAAGGCTAAACTAATGACTTTAATCTGCCTGGAATAACTGCCATGTCTATATTACACTCTTTCAACAATTTCTTCATATTATCCGTTAGACAGGACTTGAAGACCCAAACTAAAAGGATTCTTTTTGTCCATCCATTCTTACTCATGAACATGAATGAAAACACCATTTGGAAAATTACTTCTCGGCATCGTCTTTCTTTTAAATATTACCATGGGTTTTAATTTTGCTCTGTCTGCTAAGCAGGAAAGCACTACGGTAAAGTGAAATTTTTCGTGAATATTTGTTCTTATGTGAACCAAACTTTTCCCTTTCACATGAACTATTTTATTTCCTATCATATCAAACATTAATGGAGTTTCATCCATATTTCCAAAATGTGACAGTAAATATTTTTTTTTTTTTTTTTTTGCCTTCGCAGGTCAATCGCATATTTCTGGAAACATCAATTTGTTGTCCAAATCATTCGGAAGCCTTTTCAAAACTTTTTCTCG